AATGAGAAGTACAGCTTCTGCCTGAGTGAACAAATGTGTTGAGTGGACTTAGAAGTCCTTGTGTTCTAGCGGTACCTGCTGCTGAGGCAGCTGCTGCTGATGCCAGTGGTACTCGATGCTGGTGAGCTGCTGGAACAGCACAGAAGAGTCCACCTCCAGCTTCTGATACAGTTTACTGTAAGCTACCCATTTCCTGTAAGGGACAACACTCACTTGTCAATCAAGTGATGTCAAATACAGGACGGAAATTCCGTTTGTCTGTATTCCCCTTTTAGCAAGTGGTCGGATTTTCTCTGAGACAAAATGACGAGTTTGAAAAGTGGAAACTAGACTGAGGTTTTTAAAATCAAAATCTACATTTAATATTCCACCCAAGCACATTTTCCCCTGTCTGGTACTGATTCATGAATATCAGTAATAATAATAATAATAATAGGGACTGTTTGTCATTGCTTACGCCAGGTCCTGCAGAAAAGGTGAGAGGTCATTCTGTGTGGCATAAAGTTCAAGCAGAGACTGGGCCTCGCCACACAACGCTCCCTTCCACGGCCCAGAGCCCTGTTGAAGTGAAACAAGATAGAGTGGTGTGAAAAAGAGGAAATAGACAGTTGATTCAACATGTTCATTTGAAAGGTCGGGTCAGTTTTTCACCTGCTGCTTGGAGATGTAAGCTTGGACAAACTGCTGCAGGATCCCACAGTAGTTGATGTAGGCGCTGCGACCAGAGCTGAGCACCCCATCTCTCTGTCAGTTACAAAGCAAATACATAGCATAGTATGTTGGCATAAGGTGTAATAAGTTAATAAGGTAGTAAGTTCTCTTTATCATATCAATCAACTGGAAATGGGTTACAAAAAAAAGCATTTTGTCATTTAAAAAATTATTTTCAGATTTTTCAGTTTAGTAAAACAAGATCCTGTTTAGAGGGAAATACCTGATGGCAGATTTAAGGTGTTTGTTCTAATAGTCAAAGTGTGGAAAACCAGGACTCAAGTTTCTCTATTTTTTTTTCTTACATCTTTATGGGTGAATTTAAGGTTCAGGTGACACTGGCCTCGATCAGGATATGTTTCTGTTCTGGGCTCCAGGTTGTACCAGTTATCTTCTGAACAGTGGAGATCCTGAGTCCAGGTAAAAGGTTGGTGTGAGAGAATGAAAAATACTTTGAAGAGTACAACTGTAGTTTGAAGTTGTGTATATACTGTATGTATACCTGTAATTTCAGGATGATGTTCCCCAAAAAGTCATCTGTGCCTTTCTCCTTTTTGGCCTCCTTGATCATCCTAAACAGGTGGAAGCTGTTAGTTAGTTATATGAAGCTTTTAGTTAACCTTCTGACCTTGTGAGGCGAGGGTTATACCTTCTCAAGCTGTTAAAATTGCTTTTGATTTCCTCTAGTTTCTGTGTGAGTGACACCTCTTCATCCTTATCCCTGAAGCAGGAAGTGCCAGAAATAATCAAGATGAGAAAAGGTGTTAGATTGAAAAAGCCTAGAAATGGAGATTCATTTTCTCACCACATCTCCAGGTGAAAACTGGCACCAGCCATGTCTCCAAACTCTCTGGAAAGCCAGATGAGAGAAGGTTAGGAGGCTACCCAAGTCAACAGAGGACTTTAGCATAAATAAATACGTACAGTGTGAAGGTTTCGTTCCAGATTGGGTTCAGCGTTTGCTTCTTGATGTCCGTCTGGCAGATTTTGTCTCTTGATGTTGCATCCTTCACTACTGCCTTACAGGGTTTGTCTCTAGACAGTCGAGTCTTATTCTCCTGTTCATCCTCCAGTATGGTCAGCAGGCAGTAAGGGTCACTGAAACCTGTCCAGAACACATCATAAACCAGCAACCAGAGCTCCAAAAAGTTCTACACCAGGTTCACTTAACTTAAGGTTAGTTATTTAAGTAAACTCAGTGAGTTCCTTTCACTAAAAGAAAAGACACTGCAGTTTGCTGCAGTACTCAGTGAGTTCCTTTCACTAAAAGAAATCAGACAAAAGACACTGCAGTTTGCTGCAGTGACACAGTTACTCACCACTGACATCTTTTCCCAGAATCCCCTTTGCTTCCTTTACTGTGGCCATCAGACAGTACACTGGGGGCTGTAGGGGTCAAACAGTCAGGTACAGTCTGTGAGTAGACATTGTTGGTCTCTGGAGGTGAGGTCACTGCTATCAAGAAAATCAAGAGCCATAACTTCTAACTTTCTTTTCTCACCTCTGTGCTCTGAACTTTTTCCTTCAGACTCTTGTGCTCTGCCTCTGTCATACAGAAAGCCTGGTGGAAGCCTCAGTTTAGTCACTTGTATACATACGGAAAGATTGGTTACTGTGTGAAGCCTAATAGATTTACCTCCTTGACGTACTGCTGAAGTTGGTCATCTGTGAAGTCTTCTGAGAACGACGGTTTGCCCATCTTGTGGGCGATGGTGTACAGCAGTTCCTTATACAGGGGCTTGAGCTTCAGAGAAGAAAATCAAATGAGTTTGTTCTGTGACACAAACAGGAGGTATCCGACGTCTTTAACGGTGGTTACCTCCTGCTCCTTATGTCTTCGTGCTTTCTCTTCTGGATTCTCATCTTCCATAAAGCCCTAAAGAGAGAGATGGTTAAAACATATGGGGAAATACTTGTGATTGGATTTTTTTTCATATTGTGTGCAGAGGAGGAGTGGTCTCCTACCCTCCTGTCCCGTGGTTTCCTGCTCAACCCCAGTTTACGACCATGGCCTGGTGAAAGCTGACCAGATTGAATAAAACCTTATTAATCAACACAAATGATCTGGAAGATTCTCTGTCAGATTATAACCTTTTGGTCAGAAACATGGGGTTTACAATAAGGGACAGTACATGTAGGGTCTGGACCAGACCTGTTTTGGACTTTGCTAAAGTAAAATGTCAGGTTAAACATCAAGGCTTTGTCCAGGGACTGCTGTGTTTTACCTGTCTGTGTCTTGTAAAGGAGACTTTCTGCAAAACAGTAGAGGAAAATGCAAGCTTATAACTGTCACTGAAAACACACAGATCCCTTTACCTGCTCTAGATTCAGTTTTGTTTTCATTTCACAATTAGAACCGTTTTATGCAACTTTCATGACTTCCTCTACTGGTAACCACAAACACTGACTGAGAGGAAAGAGGCGAGAGGAGAAAACATCTACTTATCAGATAATTAAAATGATCACCCTAAAAATAAGAATGCAAATATATTTGGGCTCAGCTTCATTACATACATGTGCATACAACTGTTACTGTCTTTGTGGAGTTGATGCTCTGGTCTGTTCTCTACACATGTACCTCACAGTTTGGGCAGCGATGAATGTGCGCACTGCGTCATCTCATCCACAGCAATGTTCAAAGCAGTTGTGAATCATAGTCACAGTGTCTTAAAATAGCCGTTAGGCTAACGTGACTCTTTGTCAACTTCATTGCGCTTCATTGTTTGACTTTTTCTCCCATGTTTGAAAAAAGAATCATTTAAAATCCGTATCAGATAATATCAACATATGGAATATTTTAATCCTTTATGCCTGCTGACAGATTATGTTATTCACATAAAGAAAGACACAAATAAACATTGTAACAGTCACAGCAGTGTCTACGTGCAGATACACTCGGTTTTCTTACCTGCTCAGGTGTTTGCAGGAGTTTGTTGTCTCTCCTCTCCTCCCCTTTACTCGACATACTGATGCTAAAGTTTAATAACCTGACTGATGATTTGATGTCTGGTGTGTGTGTGTGTGTGTGTGCGTGTGAAAGATGGGGAAGCTGTGTGTGATGTTGAATCTTAAAGTTGCACAGCAGCAGGAAGTCATCACTTCCTGTAGGGGGAGGTAATAACACAGTGGTGACTTTTTCTGGGTATACTGCCCTGTATTCTGTGCCCTCCTGTTTACTTTCTTAAACACACACACACAAACTCACACTTACGGAGCTGAATGACTCTATGTAACATGAAACCATGCACAGCAGCAGTACGTTGGTTTTAGTTTCCTATTCACCCACTTACTGAATATACAGATCTACATACACACGTCGTGTGTTTCTTCAGTTAGATCTCATTTATGGCCTTTTCAACTTTTCCGCTGTCTGTAACACTAACAATGGACTGCAGGCTACTTTTCTACAGTCTGTAAGAGACAGCAAAAAGAAGTGATTGGCCTTCTGTTAAGTGGTTGCTAAAAGACAGCTATAAAGTTACTGTAATTTGTGTTAAAATATAGCATAGCATAGCCCATAGCATATTGACATAAAAAGACTGGTTTTTAAAAATTAATTAATCAGAAACCTAAAGAATGGTTTGACCCGTGGGTCACCATAAATGACCTATGAAACATTTATCTGCTGGACCTCCTCTTGAATCAAAATAATGTATTCACTTATAAATCCCAACCTCCATCTTTTAACCTAATGTGAGAAACAATGAAGGTTAGGTAATTTAACAAATATAATTAAGTAATTAATATTAACTGTACCAGACAGTAAAGGTGGATTTTCAATCCCCAGCAGAACAACTGGACAATCAGTTTAAATATAAAACATTTATTAAGTCAAAAGTACACCAATACAATAGATAATGTATCTTATTTACAATATTAAATATTTTTAATACTCTTCCTCACACAGTCCAACTGATGTTATGTTGTAAGCTAACAGAGCCCGTCGGCTCAAAGCTAACTTTAGCAGTCAATGGCTTGGTTTGATAAAACCTTTTTAATTTAAAGGTTTATCATTTTTCTCTGCTTGGCTCAAAGGAGAATCCATTATGTCTTTAAATCCCAGTTTCTCCAGAGGTTCCTTGGCCATCAGTTGACTGTTCAACACAGAAAAAGAAAGTATTAGTAGTGAATCATATGGTAGCAACATAACATGAAAGCACTTCTCCTAAAAACCAGTGTTCTCACTGCTCCATCCTGCACTCCAGGTAGTCTTTGGACTGCAGCCGACACTGGGAGTTGTCATAGCTGTTGTTCTTTAGACATTTCATGAACTTCTCCTTGAATTCTTTGCATTCACCTGAAATGAATAGACAAATAAAACAAATTTAATGTTGCACCCTTAATACTAAGATGTTATAGTTATTAATATTTATTAATCTAAAAAAAATAATAAATCAACAGTTAAAATTAGAATTTCTAAACTTTTCATACAGTCCCTAACTTCGAGGAATATCTTAAACTCCCCCTTGACGGTAATTTTAGTAATTCATAAACAAATACGTAATATTAATAAGTAAATGTGTAGTTTTGACCATCAGTCTGTAGGAGCGTCAGTGCTTCCATTGTTACTATCAGGGGAAGGACGTAGACAAATACGCCGGTTTGTCGCTTCTTTTAACCCTCTCCACTCACCAAAATGATCCAGAGGAAAAGATCCTTTGTCTGGAGGCCGAGGTTTGAATGATTTGTTTCCAAAGTTCATCGCAGTAGACATGTTTGTGTCAGTTTACCTGTCACTCTGCGCGAAGACACTTCTGTCGCGTTGTTATGACGTCAAGGACGTCACGTGATTCACCGAAGTGACGGTCTCTGTACGTTTTTGTACATTTTACAGAAATTCTAATTATATTCTTACCCCGAGAATATGAATGTAGATTGCAGAAATAAAAAGAGTACATCTGACGTCATCAATGACGCTTGTTCAATAACTTTAGTTTCATATATTTAAGTTCTTAACTATTAACTGATATATTGACACACGACTTAAACTTACAATCTTTATATGAAAGTGGTTTATTATTTTTTAAATTGTTTTTCTTGATTGCGTCATTTAATTGCAAATATATAAACGTATCTTATATAAACTATTAATTTGAACAACAGAATTTTAGCAACATAAAAGGTTAAAAAGAACCAAAAGAAGTCTTATATTATCAACGTCAGGATTAATCAGACTGTAGAGCAGAGAACAAAGTTTTTTAAAAATTGAACTTAACTTTAAAAAAGTTAAATTTAATTTAATTAAATTAATTTTTAAATAGTGAAAATAATATTTAAACTGTCAATTCATGCTGACAATAGTTGTTGTCAAGGCTTCTAGACGGTAAATAATACTGTCAGGTACATGAGGACATGAGGGTGTTAAATATTTTTACATACAGTAACTCACCACTGGAGGTCACACTTTTAATGTAGAACCGGAGGAGATGAGCAGCAGCAGGAGGAGGAAACACAGAAGCTTGATTATTATGCAGTCAGCAACTGGGTAACAGAGATATCTGAGGGAGAGAGAGAGCGAGAGAGAGAGAGAGAGGAGGAGGAGCAGCAGCAGCAGCAGGAGGAGAAGGAGGAGTAGGAGACAGGTGGTCTCTCTCCTCAGTGCGTCTGTCTGCACCGGTGGATGTTCAGCGAATGTTCTCTCGCAGCCTTTTCCTTCTTCCTCACCCCCCCTGTCTGTCACTACACTGAGCTGAGGCAGAAACACTCAGCATGGCGCAGGAACCGGAACCGGAGGGGAATAACCGGCTCCTGCAGGACGTGCTGGTCCGACCCGGCAACGATTCGTGCGCTGACTGCGGCAACCCAGGTAAGAAGAGAGCGGCAGGTGGAAACCAACCAGTGCATGCTTTCTGTCACAATGACTGGACATAAATATCAGTCAGGGAAAACCCAACAGGTCCGAGTGGATCTGGTCCAGACGTGGTGAGGTCCACCTGAGCTGAGACCACCAGGCTGGTGTGCTGAGCAGGTGGAGTGAGGCCTTAGAGGAAAACCAGTCTGGACTCTGGACTGAGGAGTCTGAGCCATAAACACATAAATCACACAGACACAAAGAGCACAAAGACTCAGCCAGTGTTCCTCCGGTCTGCAGTTCTCTGCTGCCGTCACTGTGTCTTTCTGCCTTTCTGTCTTCACGACAAATCTGTTTGGTTTCTGTCCTGGGGACTGGGGACATTTTGACAACGCTCTTGGTTAAATGTGCCAAATGCATTGGAAAAATCATTCATTCAAAATCATTTAAAAACATAAATATTCCCAGTAGTACTCATTGTGTGGCATGTGAAGTGTTAAATGATTAGAAAACAGTAGAAGAAGAAGCAGCACTGGCAGCTCTGCCAAACACCAGTGATTGGATTCCATCTCCTCTGTTATCTGGCTCTCCGTTCTTAACGTTTTATAACTGACTGTTGGATACACATGTGAAACCTAACCAGGAAGTCCTGACCAGAACAAGAAGAACAATAATGTTTTCCTTCACCCAAAAGCTTCATCCAGTTTTCCCATTGGACCGTGTATGTTAATGTAGACGTAAACACTGTGACGACAACTTTGGTGAACCATAACTTTTATCTAAAATACAAAAAAAAAATCTTATCACAATTGTGTATAAAAGGTCAAAGTCGAGGGTGGAGGACCCATAAGAGTACACTTCAGCTAGTCTAAAGCAGTAATCCAGTAGAGGGCCCTGAGGTGCAGCAGCTTGAACCTGTTGCTGCCTTTGTCAGATGACAGCAGTGGTTTTATTAACTAGGACTGTGTACAATATGATCAATTGGTATTCTACTAGATTGGTGAACATAAAGCTTCAGCCACACATGGGTGAAGCTTTATCAGAGCATTTCAGGTGGACTAATACTGTACTGCTTCACTGAGAGAGCTTGGATTGGACATTATGGAGTCTAGCTTCTAAAGACAGGAGCATTGTTCTTCAGTGGTTTCACGTTTACAGCCAGACGGTATAGATTATATATGGTTCATACTGAGAACAGGATGTTGTCAGTGTTAAACGTGAGTGACATCACATCTTAAAACCATATTGTCCGGGCCGATTCATTTCCTACTGCAGTAATTCATTTCTAATCAACTTGCCTTTATTTACGTGCTGAGTGAACACTTTTATAATAGTAGCTGGTGTGATTCCTCCAGACTTAAATAAATCTATATTTGATGTGTTCCTTTTTTATAATCTCTCCATCTTCCTCCAGTCTCTCAGTTTATTTATTTTTTTATCTCGTCCTTCCTCCCAATCTGTTCTACCCTCTCTAAATGGCATCAAACCAGTGAGCGCCCATGAAGGTTCTGGTTCGGGCCGTACGCCCAGTGCTTGGACTGCAGCCTGCCCAGGATGCTTGTACCTTGGCCGCGGTTCCTGCTCCTCTGAGGGACAGTGTGGTGAAGCAGCTTTTGGAGCCAGCAGTGCTTTTTGCAGAGATGGATTTGTATGAGACGTAGACACCTGCAGGTGGTGTTGTCTTGTTATCTTGGTGCAATATGTTTGTGTTGGCTATCACGGCTTCAAAGCGGCTCACAACTGCAGAAATTCCAGAAACGACTGGTTGTGTACACCAGAAAAAAAAACATGGAAAATTTGCATTTCATTTGACCTAAAGTGACTGTGAAAATGCATTAAAGCGAACCATTTACTGCAACCCTACTGATGCTAATGTCAATTTGTCAACTGCTTGGTCCAGACTTAACTGCCTCAGCAAATACTTGATGGATGGCTTGAAAAAACGCCCCCCTGGTACCCAGAGGATGGATCTTAAAGTAACCTAAGTTTTCAAATAATCAGTTTAACACAAACAGCTGCAGCTATTTGTTTGTTGGGAGAATAAATGCTAGCTACCCGCTTACCTGCTTATTTACAGTGTGTTGTATCTACTGTGTACAAAAGGCAACAGTGGTCAATCCTTTTAGAAGTAAATAATTCCTAAAATCTTAATTTCTCAAGAAAAAAAAAACTAAAAATAAATAAAAAAAAAAAAACACCAAACTTGCTGATATTGAATGTGAATTTTTTTCTCCACAGAAGAACAGTGAGATAAGGCCCTGTTTGAGTGGAGGATGAAGCCACTGTGCCATTATCAATAATTCATTCATTTCCATTATTATGAGAAATGAATGATGAGGTGGATGACGGGCGACCATGGAGCTTTGGCCAAGGCGTCTCAGCTGCTGAAATGTTGAGCGCTTGTTGAGCAGTAGAAAAACATCTCAGCAGATGTCATCAAATGAGTAGACCCGCACAAACATATGTGTCTCTGACAGGTCAGCTGCTGTTCCTCTGCAGCCACGTCTTTCATATGAGACCACATCTGTCCACTGTGCAGACCCCGCACCACTGCTCTAGACCAAGGTGGCAGCACCTGGATCTAAGACGTGAATTTGTCATCCTTTAAATACAAATCTCTACATGTGTCTGAAAGAGACCTCATTTCTGACAAATGGATCCTGCAGCCCAGTTTGGATGCAGCCTGTGAAATGTAGCACAGTCCAAATTTACCCCTGGTGTAATTTCTTTTCTGTGACTAGTGACCGGTCCAAGGTGAGAGTGAAATAATGAAGTCACTTCCAGTTACAGCTGTAGTTTTTTCAACCAAAAAAAAAATATACTGTGTAAATATATACTGTGTTTTTTTAAGGTTAAATATATTGTTATGGTCTTCATGCCCTACCACGGTTGCCGACCACTTTCTGACAACCTGAAACCTCATCACTGTCTGCTCTGATCTCCCTCTCTCCACTGTTGTGCATGTTTAATGCCTCGTCATTCTGACTCTGCCTTTCCTGACGGTGTTGTTTTTTTTTCTTTTCACCTTTTTCTTCCCTCGCTCAGAACAGACCACAGAGAGGCTTAGCTAGGAGTTTTTTTACGGCAGGGTTTCGCTGTAGCTCAGCAGCGTTGTGGCTCTGCCCTTTGCTAAGGACACACAAACGAGTAATTCCCTGCGGAGCGAAGCCTCAGCACTCTGAGTGTCAAGTCAAAAAAGCAGAAACAGCAGGAACTCTGATGAGATCGGTGGTCCTATAGATCCTTCATGGCTGCTTTGACTTTTCTGCCTTCTATGCTGCAACCCTTTTTTTTTCTTTATTCACTTTAACTTCATCAGTGTCTGCAGCTCTGTGGGAGTTCTGTTTTCTCTTCAAACCAGAGCTTTTCCAAGTGCAGTCCAAGGACAACGTACAACCAACAGGCATTGAACTTTCTGCGTTCAAACTGAACAAGACAAGAGTAGATGAACCACAAAACACTAGAAGTGTTGTTTTGTTAACAGGCTAAAACTGCTCAAAGACTCAAGACTCTAGATAAAAAATGGATGCATCATCAATTCCTGGATGCAGTACCACTAATGGCCAGTTGAGGCAATTAGCAAAATATGATATTGTTGTCAGTGTTATTATATCACATGCTAAGCAACGTTGTGTTTCTGTGTTGGTACATTATCTGGCAGAATAACAATGATTTATCTCCTGTAGTTAACACCAACATTAGTTTATTTTCATGTGTTGAGACTTTGACTGAGACTCAAGAGGGTGACAGCCTCAGTGTTTAGTCATTAACCTCCCAACCCACACAGCCACTCTCTCTCTCTCTGTGTGTGTGTGTGTGTGTGTGTCCAGATGTACACACACAGAGGCTTCTATTGTACATTGACGCCCCGTCCTTCATTATTTGTTGTGCTTCAGCACCACAGGCAACTCTTTCTTTAACTTTGTGTGGTAGAATAGGAATCAGCTCTGTTGTGCGAGTGTGTGTGTGTGTGTGTGTGTGTGTGTAATTAGACCTGTAACTGCACTTCAACAAGAACATTGTCCCTAGGCCTTCACATCACCTCAGAAAGCTGAAGTATCTCTACAGCTGCAGTAGTTCTTCACAGAAACCCTTCGAACAAGCATTTCAACAGAAAGAGAGTGTGTGTGTGTGTGTGTGTGTGTGTGTTGGTGTGTGTGGTAAGTCAGCCACTGTAATCTCCATGATGCTGTCAGACAGTGATGACCTCACCACTAATGGCTAGTTGTGTGTATTGATGTCAGCAGGGTCTTGTGTGTGTGTGTGTGTGTGTGTGTGTGGGTGGGTGGCAGGTCGGGGGGGCTTTGGTTTCTGGGAACAGGAAATGTAACAGTTTCAAAAAGGAAAGGCGTTTGTGTCAGCTGGTGTCAGCTGGTGCTCTGTGCAGCATTGATGGGGTGTTGACCAAGAAAGAGGAACGTCAACATCTACAGTCCTGGTCCCTGCTGGACCAACACACAGGTCTGTGTCCCTGCTGGACCAACACACAGGTCTGTGTCTGAGTTTCTGGCACATGCATCAAACCCACTGACCCACTTATCCACAGAGGGGTTCCATGAAGCTGCAGAAAATACGTTCAATGTCACCTTTTTGGCCTTTAACAGATGAGGTGACATTTCAGGAAATATTCATGTCACGGGATAAAAGGTCAATTATTGTTTTTGGCACATTCTGAGTCATCTGTGGAGGAGCTGCCCCTTCTCCTTCTTCATCAGCCCTCATCTGTCTCTGCTGTCTCCCACCTCCTGAGGAAGGAGAAGTCTTTGATTTGCTCTTTTTTAATGTAGATCTCACAGGACTCCTTTACCACACTGTTGCTGTGTGTGGTGTGTGTGTTCACATGGCTGTGGTGCAGCACACCACTGGTCTTCTTGTGAGAGATGGCAGCTGCTTTGAGCGACACAGTGAGCTTGTGGTTGATGAGAATTGTCAGTTGTGAAGTGCATGGCTCTCATTGGCTGCTGGTTGTTTACTCCGTTATTGTCACACATCTGTTTGACTACTTTATCTTCTGTGTTTTTTGGCAAATATTTAATCTTTTCACAACGTGACCAAACTGACTATTTACCACTGAGAAGTATTTCACTATTTAGATTTTAGTGTCAGATATAGTTATTTGAAGGACGCTTGGTTCCAATTTGTTTTTTTGCTCATTTCCAAGCCTTATTCTCACACATTTCATTTGAATCACTGTGTGTGTGTGTGTGTGTGTGTGTGTGTGTGCTTCACCATTCTGGTGTATTTAGGAGTCTGGTGATGTAACTAACCTATAACTGTCACATTAGAATTCAGATCAGATGTCGGCTGCTCTGGCTCTTTTCACAAGAGGAACACCATTCCACTGAACTCATATTCTGCACCTCTGTTCTCCATCTTTGGCTGCAGAAAGCCAGACCATGTGTAGTATTAGCCTGGTGTACCAGCAGCAGCAGCAGCAGCAGCAGCAGCAGCAGCACTCTCAGTATTTATAGTCTGAACCTTCCGTCTTTGCTCTTCTCTCCCTTATGAAACACTTTGGTACGCCTCCTCCCTTTGTCTTTATCACTCCTCTGTCTACCACCTTCACTTTATTTGGTTGATTTTATGTGTGTGTGTTGTCTTTCTCCCCCTCCTGCAGAGCCGGACTGGGCTTCTCTGACTTTGGGCGTCTTTGTTTGCCAGGCCTGTTCGCTGCTTCACCGGAGCATCCCCCACATCTCCAGAGTAAAGTCAGTCCAGGACACGTGGGATGCCAGCGATGTGGAGGTAAGACGGCAACACACTGCACAGACAGCTGCTCTAAAATACAGTCAGGAATAACAAGGGTTCAAAACAACAACCGCAGCCTCTTTGTTTTTGGGGACAAAATACGAGCCAGGCTGAAATGTAACTTTATTAAATTGATTAAACATATCTTTAATTGATATCAGGTTTTTTCTTATCATAATAGTGAATCCTGTTTTTCTAAATAAGTTTAAATACTTTGGGACAGTGGTGTCTTGGTGGTCAAAGAAGCGGACTTGAGGTTCAAGTCCACCAGCTGCCAAGTCACCACTGAGGTTCTCTGATCATGTCACCGTCCTCACTCTCTGCTCCCCCACTGTTCACTTTGGTGATGGGTTAAAGCAGAGGTCACATCTGGTTGTGTTCAGTGGTGAGCTGTGACACACTGACAAGGAGTTGACTTTCCTTCATTTCTCCTTTTGAAGTAACCCTGTCTGTTCTGCTCTGTGCTTCATCATTCATGCTCTTCCAGTTTTCTGGCCAAGACGCCAGTCATGTCTCCCATTTTCAATGTAATGTGATTAAGACCAGTGCGTCACACTTGGTCGACACACAATGTATTCTTCCCTTATTGTCTCTTCCACTGTCTAATAGATTTCCACTCATGGATTTATGGAGTGATCTCCACAGAATTTTACTTCTGGCTGAATTTATCATTTTGGGGATTGTAGTGCTTAGGTTTTATGCCTCTCCAATATTATTATTCTTGTCATGATTATTATTATAAACTACAATAATCATGATAATAATATTAATATTGTCCCTAAAGCATTGATGTCATCTGTTTTTATTTCTAATAACAACACGTTCTTACCTCGAGGCAATTACTGCAGTGTTCATTGTTATTGACATTACCTCTATCCATAAAATTCAAGACCTTTATTTTTACTGAGGTCAGAGGTCAGCTGTGATACTTGGTTAAACTTTATTAAAAATTCCTTCTGGGATTAAAGTTTGACTGTAATAACACACAGGGTTTACTCTGGGGTCTGAAATGTTTAACTGGACATCACATCTGGACATCTCAAATGTCAGTGAATTATTCTCAGAGGACTTTTGCTCCTCACCTGACCCTGACCTATGACCTGTCTTTGTAAATAGAGAGAATTACTTCACCAGGATCGATACAGTGTAATTCCATTAAGGAGAATGTTTCCAGTTTCCTCCAGGGAATAAAAGAAGCTGAGCTGGGAGAGTGGGACAAATGTCAGCAGCAAAAACAGAAACACAGAAATGCACATTTTCATCATTAGGTCTGGAAAAGGTCTGTGAGGTGAGGTGTTGTTTTTAAATGGAATGTGTCAGCCTTGAAACACCTCTGGAGGACGGTGAGGACTTCAGGGATGGAGATGCTGATGCTGACGTGAGTCATGATGACGAGATCACGATTCCCAGCAGATATTTCCTTCTATTTCTGGCCTGGGAGATTCAGAGGTTGAGGCGTGCAGGTCGATGTTGGAGGAACATCCGTCATGGCTCCGGGGTGACGTCTTCACCTATGATGGATGAGGACGCAGCTCTTATCTTCGTGTGGGGTCGTTATAGGAGGAAGCTGAAGATCTCAAGTTATTACACAGACGTTTGTGTTTCTTTCTACTGATCGTACTGTATCCATGTCAGTGAATACTTCACTACAGTCAAATACCAGACATTTAATTATGGTGTTAATGATTCTCTGGTCAACTGGTCAACCCCCGCTGCCCTACACCACAGCCATCAGTAGACACTGCTGATGTCAGACACCTTCTGTATTCAGTTGGTGTGTGCCTCCAGGGCGACTGGACTCTGATTTCATTTAACAATAGTTTCTTTAAAAGAAAGGGAACATGGGAGAACCTCAGCCTGGAGCTCAGTGAGGTTTGGGTTCTCTGTTACATTTCACCAGTATTAACCACCTGTGTGACATGACAGAATCACTGAGTGGTGCCACGTGTTGCAATCCCTGCCATGCTAAGAAGAAAACTGACCACTGCAACACTGACCACATCTCATAACTCCCAAGCCTGGGAAGTGGTCAGGAATGAATGATCAAGAACCGATAACAAACAAGGTCCTAAACTGGGGCGGGATTCTTACACTTTTTTTCTATTCGGCTAAACTCTGTAGATGTTGGTGACTGAGGGGAATGAGTATAACACCAACAATAGTGAGTGTTGGTACAGTCACTGAGGAATGACCTCGTATACAGACTGTTTGGTGCTGAACAGGTCCTGGTCTTTTGCTGCAGTGGTACTGTTTTCACTCCTGTTGTGTCAGGTACATCGTCTTCTATCCTGGCGGCACACTCTATAATCTGTGTGACAGATTCAGTGGTTTGTGTTTCTGTTGCTGCTGGGGTTTGTTTTGTTTTTTTTTGACCTTCTCGTTGAAACAGCATCAGTTCCATATTCACAGAGCTCAGATTGCCAAGTGCTCAGCCAGCTGCAATGGTGTCAGGATGAAAACAAACCAACCAACCAGACAGGAGTCTGATATTAAAGCACAGTAAAACCATCTTTTCATTGTTTGCAATCATTTGATGATATTTACCGGAAATTCAGTGGCAGTGGCTGCTTCCTCCGCCTTCACCCTGAAAAAAAGATCAACAGGATAATGACTGCATATTCTATATTTGACACCCGGTGTATAGGTTACATTGTTGTCTTCCTCCATCTTTGCTTTCAGATAATGGCTGCGATGGGAAACGATGCAGCCAGAGCCAAATACGAACAGAAGGTTCCTGCTTTCTACTACAGACCAACACACACTGACTGCAAGTGAGTACAGTAACTCTGTCACATTAGCAATTAGCAATTAGCAAAAGCTAACCATGCTGATTCAGTACCCTGATCATCGGTGACCGACTACTGTAGTTCAGAGTCTTCCTGTCTTTATAGGTAGTTTATTTAAGTAGGTCGACAGTGTCATCAGTTTGGAGGACGTTTTACATCAGCGGTGAGAACAGCTGCAAAACTATACAAGCATATTTATCTCTTTTTTAAATATTGTTTTCATAGATGTTATCTTTAGTTTTGTTGACACATGGTCAAACGACGACAGTGTCAGTTTGAAGAGTTTTTGTTGCAACAACATTGGTTCACTTCTGGATTAAAATAATCTTTTGTTAAATAAAATAACCAACTTCAGTGAACCTGTTACAGCTGTACCTTCCAGTTCAGTCCATAAGTGCTGAAACCTGACCTAAAGAAGCAGTGACACAGAGTTGGACCCTGTGTCTCACGCCCCCAGGCCTCAAAACCTTTACTTTGCAACAGGACAGTCGGTCGGCATCATATGTACAACTTATTACAGCTAAAAGGAGACGGAAAGAGTAGAATCTTTGTAAAGAGCAGCGTCTGTGCAGTTGTGTGTCCCAGTGCTTTGATGCCAGCTCCTTCCCTTTATTTCCCCTCTGAGAACCAGAGTGTTGAAGTGTTTAAGATCCAGCATCTTTTCAAGCCATGTCTGCTCAGATTTAAAGATTTCACTGAGGAGAGGAGAAGAAAACAGCTGCTTTATTTACAACACTGGGCAATAAAATGCAGAGAAAGACACAAAGAGGGGATTAAAGAGGTGCTAAGGGGGTGGAGGGAGGGGGGGAGCTGGAGGAGGAAACTGTTGGCATGGTGATGTGAGGTCTGATTCCACTTGTTTCTCCTCACTTCGATTTTCAATGTTAAAATGTAGAAAGCGGGGAGTGAAACAGAGTGTTGTGTTCAAATTTATGTGCATTTGTATGTGTGTATCGACACAGTGTGTGAAAGTTAACAGTGCTGAACGTGTGCCTGTGTGTGTGTGTGTGTGTGTGTGTGTTCACTGTCATGTCTCCAGGCTGCTGAGAGAGCAGTGGATCAGAGCCAAGTATGAGAGGAACGAGTTTGAGTTCATCGAGAAGCAGGAGCCTTATTCTGCAGGTTGGTGCAAACTGACACTTTCACTATTGTTATACATGTGATCCCAGTTAAACATCTTCTCTGACACTTACTCAGTGGCTCCCACCAGAGGCTGCTCTTTTTTACCCCTGGTAAATAATTCACTGCCATGAAAAGAGGTTTGTCCTGATGTCAGTTCCACACTATAACGGCTAGCTACAAACTAGCCATTTGTCACGCTAAGTTTGTTTTTCGTGCAAGTTACTTCCTAACTAATGCTGTTCTGGGCTAACTTTTGTTAGCTATTGTAAGTAACCACTTATTTTGTGGACTTTTCTTAAGCCCTAATTGGTTGTCGATTAAAACCCTTGAAAAAACACTTAAGCCTTTCCTAACAGTAAGATTGTATCTTAATTTGTACTCTATTGTGCTTTAACTATTTTCTAATACATTAGCTATAGAAGGTTCTTCTTATATAATATGCCAAACTTTACTATTACTAAGTACTATTTAAACTGAGGGGTTACCATTTGGCTATCATTTCTGTAACCTTTAATCCAGTAACACTTTGGTTTCCTGAGATGTCATGGACTCTCGTACAGATCTTCTCCACAATAACTGTTGATGATGGAATTATGAAGGGCGTGTTAGCTCGTTCATACCTCATCGTTTTCTTCTAACGACAGCAGCAGCTGCAGGCAGCGACTTCCTCATCACCAGCACAGCTCCTGTGATCTTCCTGTTAGCAGCTCACAGTGAAAAACAGAAGCACGCTGCTGTTTTTCCATGTAGAATTACGGCAGAAGAGATTGTTCCATTGTTGCGTGAGGCTCGCCTCGTTCACCCTTGGTTAAGCAGAACACCCAGAAGTCATTGGATGAGCAGCGTGTCCTCAGTGGACTCCAGTTACAGGAATTCAATTACCCCGGAACACTCATTTTAATCTGACGTCTCATAAGTGGTTATGTGTTAGCATTTGAAAGCATAAAAGCCTATTTAAGCTGTGACACTTACAGAAGCTGGAACTGCCATTAGTCCGTGTGTCTGTGTGCTCCTGGTGGAGCTATACTCGTGGGGACATTGTGCAGGTTCCCACTGAGACAGGATCAAGTTTGATTCAGATTCAAGATTTCAGCATTTGTAATGGTGTAGGTCTGTGTTGAGCTCAGTAGGAGGCGTATTTGCAGACTAGTAGGTGCCTCCAACAAAACCTGCATGGACAGGGTATATTGTGGTTTCTGGTTTCTAACAAGGCCACTGTGATATGGGCCGTGATGAAGTCACACCAGATTGTTGAGTCTACCTCAACAGCCGGTGGCAGAATCTGCTCCCCTCCAACAACACTGTAACCAAGGTTCAATTATTCCCCTGTTTCTTACACTTGAACTTGGAATTGAATTGTCTACTACTGCCACCTTTGGGCTTGATCCTTCTCTGCATTGCTGAGCCACAAGTTTAAATTTCCTCACACTCTTTTTATGCTAGGAGGTTGATTAGCATTTTTAGTTGGATGTGCTTTCACCATGGTGAAAATTCAAGACTGTAAAGTACGGGTTGGTCTTTTTTAGAATGTGTTATAAAGGCCGTGGAAACCCCCAGTACTGATTATCTTAGTGTGCAACCTCACATCATAGAGACATAAGCGCGCGTGTGTGTGTGTGTGTGTGTGTGTGTGTGTCTGCGGGTGTCAGTTTCAGCAGTGTGTGTATCTTCCAGTATACATTTCACATCTTGTTGAAGATGGAATAGTTTAATTGGTTTGCAGTGACCTCACCCAGTTATTGTTACAGTACCATACACTGACACACACCAACACACCTACACACACACACACACACACACACACACACACACATGGTGTTATAATATGACTCATTCTGTCATGTTGATTTGTGTACTCTCACTCACAGAGGCTCATGGCATCTGTGTGTGTGTGTGTGGCCTCATAAGTGGCCAGTGCCAGCATTGATCTGATATACACAGAATACATCGGAAGGAAGAGAGGGTGAGGGTGAGGGTGGGGACAGGCTGAGCTATTGATCGATGAGGTAATGCTGCTGTAGGTGAAGGTTTCATGTCGGAAAGATGCACCCACACACACACACACACACACACACACACACACACGTGATGTTGCTTTACAATCATAATAAGCAGTGAATGAGCAGACAAAAGAGTCACTCAGGACTGAAACTAAATGATTAGAATAAAGAACAGTATGAATGAAACAAACTGTTCAATCTGTAATCAATAAAGGCCTCAGTCACAGACACCACTTCCTCTCAGCAAAAACCCTTAGTCATGCTTTATTGTCCTTAAGTTGAAGTGGAGTTTTTTCTGTTCCTATTTGTGGTCTAATGGTTGTGTTTCTGTCTATTCTGAGCACACAATAAGTGAAACAGTTTTGGTAGCATTAGCTAGAATAGCTATTTATAAAGTCCAATATTTCTAAGATCATTCGAATCTTGAAATAAAGATTTCTTTGTCCGTTTTACATTTGTTTAAGCTAAAGTTAGTTTGTTTTAATTTGGTTGTTTTAAACCTATAAAGTATCTGTTACTTCATCCGTGGACACGCTTGAATCAAACATCTTTACAATGCACTAAAATGTACTGTTTAGGTTTTGCAGTTTGTTTGTTTTTTCTGGGAGGAGACATTTCAGTCCATATACTCAGACATTCAATAGTAAAAGCACGTTTCGCTGTGAGCTCTTCTGACCCTGCTACAGAGGCAGACATTTGAGTTTTTCTTTTGTGCTGTTTCATGCAGTGTTTCCATTTTCTTCCTCCCGTTCTACATCAGATTTCCATGATCCGATTTCTCTCTTTCAGTACACTGACAATAAAATTGCTCATCATTCCATTCCTGTAAATGTCCCTAATGTTTTATCAGTCACGTTGCCGATGGTCTTTTGATTCTCCTCCCTCTGCCTTTTCACCCAGGATACAGAGAAGGGTTTCTATGGAAACGGGGACGAGACAACGGTCAGTTTCTCAGCCGAAAGTTCATCCTGTCAGAGAGGGAAGGGGCACTGAAATATTTCAACAAGCAGGACGTAAGCTGGGGTTTCATTGTGTTTTCACCGACCAATTGTCGCTGTGTGAGGATGCTTGTACGGTGTGTTGATGTACGATCTTTACACCTGCCTCTGTTCATAGGCCAGGGATCCCAAGGCCGTGATGAAAATTGAGACCCTGAACGCCACCTTTCAGCCGGCCAAGATCGGAAACCCCTGCGGCCTGCAGATCACCTACCTGAAAGACAACAGCACACGGAACATCTTTGTCTACCACAGTGATGCTAAGGTACTGTCGGACACTTACTGACACACCATTCAGTGCTGAGTGGGATATACGCTATTTTAGTTATATTGTAGCCCACCAGGCGGCGACATTGTTTTTTAGAAACCTGTTTCCAGTTTCTACAAACATCATTGGCCTAACTGCCCTGAGTGATTGTGGTGGTTTTTAATTATCTGTTGTGCGTAGAATTTTTTTTGTTTGTTTGTTTTATTGGAGAACTTTTATCCGTAGCAGATCATTCTGAATAATTGTCATGAAACACATGACTGCCACATAAACTATTCCTGACTTTGAGCTGTTTCTGGGCCAATTTTGTCTTGCCTTTGAATAACAGTATTTGGTCAAAGACCTTATAGATATTAATCCTGGTGTGTGTGACTTACACAGACGTCAACAAGCCCATTCTAGCAATGTCTATTAGAAAAAAAATAAACGAGATAAAACACAAATGAGTAGGTTGTTTGAAGTAAAGTACTTCTTCACTTCACCCTGAAGTTCTTTCTTACCCTCAGACTATTGACCTGGTGATGATGTGATGAACGTGTGATTGGATGGAAAAATGCACCTAAATGAGATCATATTAATGTTCAGACTGAATTTTAGAGTAAAACGTGGGACAGGTTTAAGCACTGCGCCCTCTGGTGGCTGTGATGTGTCATAAAGCGAGTTCACTGGGTTTATTTAAGGTGGAATTATCGACGTGGCTGCAGCATCCAGACACAGCACTAATACTACAGATTTGATCTTACTGACGTTGGAGAAAAATAAAAAACAGATCAATTTAAAATGTTGTTTCTACAGGAGATGGTCGACTGGTTCAACGCCATCAGAGCAGCCAGGTTCCACTACCTGCAGGTGGCTTTTCCTGGAGCCAGTGATGAAGAGGTGAGGGTGAAGATACCGCACTTAAATGTTAGACTCATCAACCACAAGGTGATGGAATTAATCAGTTGGGCTGTACAGTAATCCATTCTTTTTGACACAAATGACATAAATGTGGTGAGTTTGTTAAAATAAAAAAAAACATGCTTTCTAAGGGTATTACTTCATGTGTTCATTTCATGTCGTGTTTGTATGTTGTTGTTGTTGTTTTTCAGCTGGTTCCTAAACTGACCAGAAACTTCATGAAGGAAGGTTTTATGGAGAAAACAGGCCCCAAGGTCTGTCCACTGACATCTGAGTGTCTACTGCTGAACTAAAACCAGAATGTTAATATTGTTGTGGCCTCACACCATAGTGTGATTCTCTCTGCTTTTAGCACACTGAAGGTTTTAAGAAGCGGTGGTTTACCATGGACGACAGGAGGCTCATGTATTTTAAAGACCCTCTGGTAAAAGGAGTCCACCTTTATTAAAAAGATTTCTGAACCTGTCCGATCATCCTTACATCTCCCCCTTCTCGTCCCCCTCTTCCCCACAGGACGCTTACGCCCGTGGTGAGGTCTTCATTGGCAGTAAGGAGAACAGCTACACGGTGTTGTCCGGCCTGCCTCCGTCCACCCAGGGCTACCACTGGAACCACGGCATCACCATCGTCACGCCAGACAGGAAGTTCCTGTTTGCTTGCGAGACGGAGGCGGAGCAACGGGAATGGATAGCTGCCTTCCAGAGGGTCATCAATCGACCAATGAGACCACAGGAATATGCAGGTACAAGGTCAAGGTCTAAGTTGAAATGCAAAAACATTTGTTTACAGTTACGTGTGTGCGTAGAAGTATAGAACAGAAGTTTCTAGCTCCATTTCCCCACGTGTTTTTGACAGAGATAGCATACCAGTACATCCTTCAGACTTACACCGTTACAGAGCATCTGGGTCAAAGTCATGCCCTGTTTCCTCCAGGACAGCATGTCCTCAATTCACTTGTCTGTTGTTGCAGTGGAGGCTCATTTCAAGCACAAGCCTTGAAACCTGCAGGGACTCCTGGGGAGGCCAAGAATCGAGTCTTGGTCCGGTCAGAGCCAGTAAGACCCGACTTTGTGGTGTATCAGGGCGTGATGGATGGCGAGGCGGAAAAGGTGGGGCTGGAGAACACGTGGACATTTTTACGTAGGTTGTGAAAAAAAGGGAAGAGCGAAGGAAACGACAAAAGTTTCTCCAGTGGATCATGATGGAGCTGACTGGAACTCTAGGTTTAGGTTGAAGCACTGATGTTCTGAGGGCAGAAGACTTGTGATGTCATCCCTAATACCACGGCAACCTTTCCTCCCCCTCCTCATCCTTGGGCCCCTCCTTCTCCTACAACCTCCAATTACTCCCTCCGCTCCTGGATTTCGTCTTGTGAATGGTGCATTCTACCTGTAATCTACTGTAATTATGTAATCTAGAGTCATCCCACTGGTTTGCTCAGCAGAGACAATGCCTCTTTAATTTATTGAATGTACAGTTTTGATGACAGTGGCTTGTTAACTTGTTTTTTCCATGAGGACGCTGCCGACGAGGTCGCTGACACCCTGTTAATCCTGAATCTACGAAGTGCTTTTAACACCAAGTATGCATTAAAAACACGCGCAAAACTCTCAGTGATCACCATCGCTGTTAACGTAGTCTGTCAGGGTTCTTTCTAAAATCCTCCGTGTGCCAGCTGTTCTCCTATTTATTTGTACTGTTCAACTTAGGGAGTCACCGTAGATGGTGATCGCTGCTTTTAAGGATTGTAATGTGATTAGGATTGTAATTTACACCACATATCGCCAACTATGGTATTTAATTATCGCATCTTGTTTTAAAGACGCTTTGTTGTGTTGATCCATAACCAACCGAAGAATTTGCCGTTACGTTGTGGGTCGTATGTCAGTTGATAACAGCAGTTTTTAACACAGCGTGTTGTTGTTCAGGGTCACTGCGTTCTGTCAGCAGGGAAAAAAACCTTCCAGGTTTGGTTAAAAAAATTTGACGTTCACTTTGATTTGACACTGGTTTGTTCCTCAGGGTTAAAAACCCTCTTCAAATACAATGTTATTGTAGCTCAACACTTGGACAGTGACCTGTAATACCCTTAATGATCATACATGCACTCTGATACCGCTGTTCCTCTCAGTTTTTTCAGTTTAGTCCTCACCCGTCTCCCCTGTTGTCCAAATCCAGTGGACATATGGACACTTTGACAAGGAGCTGTCTGAGTCCAGAGACCTGCTCAATCAGCTGACAGGTACATGTTGCATAGTCTATGTAATTATATTTTAAGCAAATAACAAATTAAAACAAAAACATGGTCTCCCAGCACCTCCCCCCTCCCCCGCAGACTAACTTTCAATTTCAAATCTGTTGATGTAGGACCAGATGTGTTGGTTTTTAAACTTGCTGACGTTGTAGTGACCGCAGACATCTTCACATTCTATTTAAAGCTGTCAGATTTCTCCTGTAAACCTGGGACAAAAAGAGACATTTTTGTTGTTGTCCAGAATGTAGAAACCAGATCTGTGCTGGGAAAAGCCCATCCTTCACTGTTTTGTGGGGCAAGTATAATGGGCTGTGTGGCAGTTTCCTTCATCATAAGGTTCTTTAATATCAATAAAGACGTGTCTGATTTATGTGTGATGTTGATGAAGACCATATGTTAACCTCCTCACGCAGGCGCTGCTTAATGGTGGCCTCATTCTCTGGTTATAAAAACATCCGTTCCTGGTCTCGGGTGAGTGAACACTTGTTCTATTTTACAGATCAACAGAAAAACACTGTAAACGTGTCTTAGTGAGACTTTAGGAGAATATGATTAAGAGAAGACTGGAATAAGGGTCATGATGTTTCCTTCCATCCAGCAGAGGGAGCTCTTCTGTTTAAGGGACACCAGTGTGAAATACAGAAATACAAATTTGGGACAAATGTGAACAAAAAATATTTCATTACTTCATGGGGCTAATATTTGAGCAGCTTGGTTTTCTATGGCTCGTTTCATTCTGTCAGAGTTGGTGGTGGGGGACACCCTGAACCCCCCAACCACCAGCCTCCCCACCATATTTGATGCAGGGTCCAAAATTAGCTAGGAACACCACTGGTTTACAACCAAAAATTAAAGTAAAAACAAGGACTTTTTGTAAAAAAAAAACATGTTAGGAATGTCACTGTAATTTCTCTGCTGTTCCGTTATGGCAACATTTTCTAGAGAACTGTAATAATACAGCTGATATTTTTCTTTTAGAACCTCAGTAAAGGCTTGTTCACATTTTCCATATAACAGAAGGTGGCGCTCCTCAGTCATGCAGAAGAGCAGCACAGTCGCTGTAGGTGTGGACTGCTGCTGCTGTAAATGTCACCTGATGATCTCGCCACTCTTACACACACTTCCACGTACGGCTCCAGCACTCTCACTGAATCATGAGCAAATCAATGTTTCTTCTGTCTGGATGAGGTGTTGTCGTTGGCAACCAGGTTGTCACGGTAAACTCTTGAGACACTGAGCTACTGAGCTGTAGCAGCCGCCTGCTGGAACCGCACAGGAAGTCTTTAAAAGTGTCAGGGACTCCGTCTCGGACCCTTGGACCTAAAGATAACTCTGTAGCTCCAGAACTCCATTTCTCTTCCCGTGATAAACCTGCAGTTTCAGCCCACACTTCAGCCAGTGACCCGCTTAGAACATGAGTTGAGGTGAAGACTTGTTCTTCTAATCCCCGTCCAGCTGTCCTGTCAGTCAGGTCCTGCAGGAAACAATCCACCCTGAACTGTGACTGTGAAATCAGCTAATGTTCTACCAAGAAACTCAGCAGGAGCAGCTGTTCGACTGAGGAATGAGGTGGAAATGAAGCAGCACTTGGAGACGGATCGGCTGTAAAATCAGACAAGAAGTATGAACAAGAGGAAGGAGAACATTCATCAACACTCTGGATTTGATTTATTAGCTGTGCCTGTTGTTGTGACTGTAGCCCTACGATGGACCCTGTACCTAATGATGTCACAGTGATCAATTTAGTTGAAAATTATGACAATTGTAATGGTGGGCAAAATGATTTACCCCGGGAAGGTTTCAACACCTAGCTGACTTAGCTGAGAGAAATTAGTCCAGCTCCTCCAGGTATAATATAGAAAATATTTTATTTCAAATGCAAATCAGTTATTCCAGGAAAATATATTTTTTCTAAATGAAAAAAAAAACCTGCTAGTAAATACATAAGACTGGTTAAATTAGCTAAATAACATCATCAACAACAAAAATAATAATGTCATTTGAATCTTGAATGATCCATATTCACCCTGATAATTTAGAGAATGAAAAAGTTTATGAAAAAGCTTTAAAACATTCAAAATTAGCATACGTTTTTGGATTTGTTTTTACAAGAAAGTACCAGGAACTACTTGTGTTTCCACTGCAGGGACTGGAAACCAATGGAAGTACAGTACCAAGACTATTGTTGAGTTCAGGAACCATTTGTAGGCTCCAGGCTGCGGTCCACCTGTGGGAGTCCTCAGCATCAAGGCCTGGACAGTGTTGTGTAGATGGGCTGCTCCCAGCCAGGAGGAGGACTGTGTGGAGATGTTGCCAATGCCAAGCTGCTGATCAGTGATGTGGTGTATGGACTCCTGGAGGAGTGGAAGTACGGATACTGGTACAGACCAGCAGGATACCCAGAGATGGTGCTGTAGAAGCTGGAGCTCTGGAGTTCGTTGTACTGGTTGGTGGAAGGGTTGGAGGAGCTGCCTGAGCTCAGGGAGGTGTACTCTGGAGGAGGTGGTGGAGTGGCGGAGGAGGAGGAGGAGGAGCTGTTGTAGTGACCTGGGCTCATCTGTTCTGTTTTGATTTGAGGTTTTTGGCTGTTGTCCTCATTGGTGTCACTGCTGGAAGAAGACGGTGGACATCCAGCAGATGATCCGCTTGAGGTTCTGGGAGTCCAGACGGGGCTGCTGCTGGAGTGTGAGTGGAGGTTGGGGAGAATGAACGACCCTGTGGGATTGTTATGCACATGGTTGGTGTCCGACGGGGTGAGGAGAGCAGAGCCGTGGCTGTTTGGAGGCAGGTACTGGTCCAACTCATGGACGTCAAATCCATCGATGTTGCCGATGACGTCTGTGCTGAGTTCTGAGATGTCCACGTTGCTGAAGTCAATGTTCTGGCGACTGGAAGGTGGAGCAGAACCATCCCCACCGCGGTGGGTGTCATGTTTGGTTCCTAAGGGAGCGTCGGTTTTTGGAGTAGTAGGAGGTGTTGGAGGTCCATGAGACTGACCTGGAAAACCCAGAAAGACAACGATTACATGTCATCCTACTGAAGAGTCAGTCACGTCAATATGGACATGATTAGTCCCCCCGCCCCCACCTGCTCTGTCTGGATAGTATTGATGATGGTGAGGAGGAGGAGCATCTCCTGGTCCAGCCAACCTGGTCAACCCCGGTTCAGTCTTAAACAGGTCCTGCTGTGGCTGAACCAGTCCAGCTTTACAGTCCACTAAACCTGGTTTGGAGCTCTTGCGTCTTCGAGGCTGGTACTTGTAGTCAGGGTAGTCTTTCTTGTGCTGCAGCCTCAGCCTTTCTGCCTCCTCCACAAAAGGTCTCTTCTCTGTTTCAGAGAGAAGTCTGCAGGAGACAGTGACCACATTCTGGATTTTAAAATGATTTTAGAACAACATACTTGTCTGAGCCACGTGGACATCAGAAAAGAACTGTGAAGTATCAGTCTCACAGCAACATCCCTGATGTGAAAAGACCTGCAGCCCACACCACACTAAACACATGTGGGTTTGTTCTGGTGGAAGGTTTTTTTTCTTCTTTCTGTTCACTGAGAATTTTGATTTTTGTATGAATTACATTAAGTCCAGGTGATTTTGTAAAAACTTTGGAGAAGGTGTGGGGCGGGGGTGTTGGGGAGGGGGCAGGCAAAAGCTGGGCAGGAGAAAGAGCCTAAGTACCGTGTGTTCTAAATGCACATGTTGCCCTGGTCTTTTTTGGTATAATATTCTACATATCGACACATGCAAAAATACTCCATTTATTTAACTGTAACCAAACGTTGCCAAATAATAACTGGTCCACTTTAAAAAAACAACTAAAATGTTGTTGAATTTCTGTCACGGTGAATGTGGACATACTAGCACACGTAGACCCCGAATCATCCGAGCCCACTGGACCACTGGACGGTCAAACCGTTTGGAGTTCGGACTCACCTCCACAGTTTCCCCAGCGTCTTACTGAGCTCGGCGTTGTGCAGGTGAGGATACTGATCCGCCAGTTTCCTGCGTGCAGCCTGCGCCCAGACCATGAAGGCGTTCATGGGCCGTTTGACGTGAGGTTTGCTCTTCAGTCCCCTCTCCCCCTGACTGGACATGGACACCAGAGACCAGTCGTAACCCTTCAGCACCTGAGACACAGCTTCGCGGATGCAGGTCGGGAAACGCTCAGCTTGTGCCCCGCTCTGCGGTTTGTGTCCTTCGGCAGGTTCTGCAGTGACGGACCCTGCAGCTGCAGCTGGGGGGTCCGGATGGCGCGGGGTCACGGAGCGGTCGCTGTCTGCTGGACTGCATGGATGGTCCGGCAATGACATGTTCTCTGTCATGTTTGAGCGTTGAAAAGAAACAACCAAACAACAAGAAGAGTCTAAATAAAGTGTGGTTTAAGTTTGACTCGACGTCCTCGTGCGTGAACAGTCTGTGCGTAAAAGCGCACGACTTTGAAGTCAGTCAGTAAAATCCCAGGTTTCTCAGTTTGGACTTTTGAGTGTCTGGTTGCAGGACAACTGAAGTGTGATTTAGTTCACTTTTCTGCCTAACTCTCTATAACACTTGTCTCTCTCCTCCCCTTCTCTGCCATTGGCTTCCAAGCAGTTTTTTAGTGGAGTTCCTCCCAGTTTGGCAGGATAAAAAGAACGGAGTGGGTTAAAAAATGTGAGTGAGTATGTTAACAAAAATGTAAAAAAACAAACAAACATTTAAAGTAAAAGTTATTTCTTATTAGTATTTTATTCAAATAAGTATTTTGTTGGGTGTCTCTTTAAACAACAACAATTTATTTTGTTTCAATTTATTTCAAATATTTCAACTGTAATTATTTAACTGCAATTAGATAAGACTATTTTGAAGCAATACTTCTACTATACTAATTTACTATATTATTATTAATTATTTTGACATGAATTATCATACATTGTTTGTGGAAAGAGCTGGAAAACATTTTATATTATAAGTGTTTTTAGTCATTTTAATAATAGTAATAATAAATTATTCAAAATAACTGTTATTATTATATTATAATCATTAATAATAATTATTAGTAATAATAATTATCACTGTTACTACTATTAATAATTTCCTGCACTTCCGCATTTGTTATGTCACGTGACACATAAGTTCCGTCAACATGGCGGCTCCCCGTGAGAGCGTAGACGGCTCTGTGAGGAGGAGACGCGTGGACGGCAGTGGAAGACAAAAAGAGACAGTGTCAAACTCCTCTGACATCAGCGGGGAACATGGAGGAAAAAAGGACCAAGACCCAAACACTGAGCCCAGACCGGAGGCTCTGCAGACCGGGACTTTCTGGCTCACACGGATCGTCCTGCTGCGATCCGTCTCCTTTATTTACTGTGAGTGAGGTTTTTCCACATTGACATCGAAGTTCTTAGCAGATGTTGTTTTAGCACGTGTTTTTTTCTTTAACTTTTTTTCTTTAAAATATCCATTGGTCATCACCTTGTTTTCTATGTTATTGTTTTCTAAGTTATTTTTAACCGTAAACTAATAGTTGTTTGGAGTCTTTTACAGTGTGACACAGTTAAGTGTTTTTGATATTAACGACATGATGTTTGGTCTGATTGGTCAAAAGGTGACTGATGCGATAGTTCAGGAAACAGTTTGTGTTACCACCCTAAAAAGCCTTAATTCAGACAGAGCAGTGACGCTGGACTACACACCTCCATACACATCCGGTGGCCCTTAAAATAATGAGGGGAAAAAAACAAAAAATGAAAATTGAATTAAATCTAATAAAAATATATTTTCTCACAGCCTTTTTCCAGCTTTTAAAAAATATATGTATATATTTTTCTTTCTAGTGGTGGCCTTCACCGTTGCCTACAATCAAAACAAACAGCTGATTGGTGAAAACGGTTTAATGCCCTGCAAGAGTTACCTCAACAGTGTGAAGCGATACGTGGGTGGAAAGATTGGCACGGCCGCGCTGACCTACACACCCTCCATACTCTGGTTTATGGACTGGAGCAGCATGGACTCCAACCTGGATGCCATGGCCCTGCTGGGGATGGCTGTGTCTGCGTTTGTGCTGGTGACGGGGATGGCCAACATGGTTATCATGGTGATGCTGTGGGTTCTTTACCACTCACTGGTCAACGTTGGACAGCTGTGGTGAGGCCCACATTACAGACGCATGGGTTTGCCATATGTTTGATGTGTTTACCATATATTTTTTAACACTGTTTGTTTTTGTTCCTGTTTCCAGGTACTCCTTTGGTAAGTGGAGCCAACACAGACATTGGTCACTTTAGTTGTTTAAACTTCATTTCTGACATATGGCACTGTTTAAAAACATTTTTAAAAATTTAAAGCGATTGATGAAAAACCCAAAACTCATATTCAACTACATTAAAATGTCAGACAGTGCAGACTGCAGGCAGTCCACTCAGCCACCGTCTCCACTGCAGTCTCCTGTGTCAGCTGTCAGGACACAGGGTTTATGTTCTGGTCTCATCATCGAGACAAGTTGCAAGGCTCCAAAAAAAGGGAAAAAAAAGTGAACTGTTGACATTTGTATTGTAAAGGATGGAAAAGGATTGGTTTGTTCCACAGGCTGATGATAACCTAGTTAACATATTGACTTCTCTCATACTCTGGTCGTACAAGGAGTTGGCTTCAATAATGACTAGCTGGTTGACTGGTAACAAGACTTGGTATAAATGGAGCCTCCACAGAGAGCAATGATAGCTGCTTCACAGTGATGCTCTTCAAATGACAAATAGTGAGCTAAGAGGTCATTGAAGGTCAAGGCTCCGGCCCAGATCAGTGAGGTCGTCGTTCATGAGGCGCCGTCTTAAGCGACTCCAGACTAAGGTCTGTGGTCAGCTGCTATGGAGTTCCACCAGCATACAGTCTTTGTTTCCATTTTCCCCACATTTCCTCTATACATTACGAGTGAGTGTTATGACGTTAGGACCGACGGTGGAGCGGAGTACGTCTGAAACGACCGAGCACAGACACTGGGGACTCTATATGAAAACATATTAAGCTGCAGTATTTCCACCACAGAGGAAACATGAATATAATCAGATTATGCTGTGTTTGCCCCAGGTCCTGTTAGAGATGTGGTTCTAGAGCTGGTCTGTGGGTCAGTGGGTCCACGTCGGCTCAGCAGCTACTGTATGGATTAACATTCAAATCACTTCAGATCACAGTCAGAAATTAGCATTAAAGCCAAATGTTCCTAATCTTCCTTGGAAGGCTGGGGACTGTTTCCTGTTCCTGGTTCTCTACATTTACTCCATATATTTGACAGATAAACATCTGTATAAAACTTAAACAACTGTACATTTCACAGTTAGGTTAGAAAAATATTTTTGTATTTGTCTTTTTTATATACAGTACCTTAGATTTTTCTCTGTTGTCTGCCAACTCAGCTCTGCTAAGTTAAGCTATTGCTGGAGCAACGTTTAGCTTTTTCCCCTCAGTCTTTGTGTTCATAAATCACAGATGTTTCTCCCCCTATAACTTCCTGAGATCAATACATACCCTGACTATGATGATGATAAAGATGATTCATATTATTGTTATTATTATTACCAATTTAATCATAATAATTATTATTATGTTTTAAGTCAGTATTTCTTGATTTGTTTTATTTCATGGTCTTTATTTGTGAGGTATTTTTTTGTATTTTGTTTTTCTATTTTTGGAACAACTGATTCAAGTGATTTATTTGATTTTGTTCCTTTTCCTAAAGCATACTTTAGGCTATTTAGCTGTTGTTGCAACAGATTTGACAAGACTTTAGCTCCTTTGCTGCCTTGTCTGTCCTTTTCTATTTCTTACCCTACATTTAGGTAACCTTTGACCCCATTCATCATTGTTTTCTTTCCTTGTAGCCACCGCTATTACTGTGTGATTTCCATATTCTCATGCTGTGTGCAGGGTGGGAGAGTCAACTGCTGGAGACAGGGTTCTTGGCCATTTTCTTGTGTCCAGTTTGGACTCTGTCCCAGGTCCCCCGCGGCTGTCCCCCCTCCCTCATCTGTATCTGGACATTCAGGTGGCTGGTCGTCCGGATCATGTTGGGCGCTGTGAGTTCTACCTTTGAATATATATCTTGGTTACGGCAGATTATGATATTTTAGAATCCTTGAAAACCCTTTCTGCTGAATCAAACGTCTGAAGTTTAACTTGTCAAACTCGGTTAAAGCTAAACGAGCAGAGTGGGGTCAGTCGGACTGATGAACTGAGAGCAGCACCTTGACTAACACGTTCCCTCTGTCAGGAGACAGAGACATATGAATGTCTCTGTCTTCAGGGAAGCAGATACTGTGGATACAAGCATGTCCAGCACACACACACACACACACACACACCTCGGTGCCATTGAGCAGACGTGAAACTCTTTCTCAACAGTGTCATTTCCCCACATATTCTAGTGTTTGTCCTCCTGATTTTAGACCGTTACTCTTGGAGCTGATCTCCGCGCCACAACGCTGCCAGTATTTGGAAATCCAACCCAAATATACGCCGGGCTAAACAACACGTCTGCTTGTTTGACAGTTTCCATGGTGAATTTTCAGACCACCGACCGGGTTTTATCTGCCAATCACTGCGGTCTCTGCACACCCAGTGGGGTTTTTCCTATTAGGAGCATGAAGGGAGCGGAGGCACAGAGGCCGCTCTGCAGCTCTGCAGCCCCGTTCTCCAGTTCTCTCTGAAGTTCCATGCATTTATTCACTCATTCTCTTTAAAACAGCTCTTATTTGATACAAGTATTAACCACTGTGTCATCAAGTACATCACAGCAGAATAAAATACAACACAAATAAAAATGGTTCAGTGATTTTGATTAAATTTGCTGGGCAAGTCTTGGCTAGATTTTCTTTATAGCCGTTAGCTTATTTGAGCTTTATTTTTTATTATATATTAAGTTTTTTAAGTTAAGTTTTTAACTGTATTTACTAAGTTTTTTTCTGCTAACATTTACCTATTGTTATGCTATCTTTTGGCTGTTTCTGTTCAGATTTTTAGAATCCTTTCCTTTTGCTCAGTCATTTCAGGACAGTTTAGTTTTTACAGTTAGCTGTTGCTGAGCCTATTTTTATAGCTAGCGTATCATTTAACTTTTTAACTCTTTGTATTTGTATCTACGGTGTTATAACCTTGAAATCACCAGCAGTGTGGCATTAATGTTGTGTATAAAAGGGTTGTGTTTTGGACCAGGTAGACAGAAGGATCTTGGCTAGGTCACATGATCATCAACAATGACATTTCCGCTTTAATGATGATTTGTAAGCTGCGTTCAAGCGCTGGGAGGAATGTCAGAAATCCAAGAGTTTAGATTTCCATAGAACATTCACATGCTGATGTTTGAGGGAATAACATCCAGATGCTGAACAATAAACAAAAGGAAATAGATGGTCACTGAAACGCTGCCTTTATATGTTTATGTTTATTTATGCCATTTAAAAATATGAAGTCCTTAAAAACAATACAGTGACATTTCCTTATATTAAAGAACAGTGTTGGACCAGGGGCCTGGCCTCGGCCCTCCTGTAGTATCCTGTAGTATCCTGTAGTAGCTGAGTGCAGCACAGTAGAGTCCCGGTCCGTCTTTGATTCGTCCTGGTCACGAGCGTTTATCCGTCTGTCAGTCTGTGGTTCACCACTGCTCTGTGGCGGCTGCAGACTTCCTGTCTGTTAAGGCAAGATGACTTGGTGGTCTCGCAGTTCAAAGTCTTCTCCAGTCATAGGAAATGTATGAGAAAAAGAAAAGAAAGGCCTGAAGTTATTACCTCGTTAAATCTTTAATTTTGGTTTGAAGAAGCTTCTGTCTGTGTCTCAGAACAAAAGCATTAAAAATCATCAGGCTGCAGTCTAATTGAAGTGTTATCCGTCGGCTAGCTAGCAACTGCACATGTCTGGACAGTTTGAAATTCCTTTTTTTTTACATGTTTTGGCTAATGTTTAGCTAGTTTTTTTTATCTAATTTTGCATCTATTAGTCCTGTAGGATTCCCATTGTTCCCATGTGTTTCTGCTGAACGTTGCCTTGGTTTTATTATTTGCTGTACCATGTGAACTTTGATAAACAGCTGAGTTAGTGACTGATTAAGGTTCTACCATGAAGCAGTTCAAAGGAATGGTCATGAAGAAACAACGCCTGACTGTCATATATTTTCACATCTGCAGGCTGGACGTGTACATTAGTGCTGTATTATACTGTGATCAGTTTCATGGTGGCTGCCTTGAACCACTGCTGTGTGCTGCCTGCTGACTGTGGGCTTAATCAGCCGTTAGTCTGCACACAGCTGAGCTAATTTGATGTCAAAGCTGCGTTAATGCTGAGAAGAACAACAGGTCGTCTCCACATTAGACCACAGCAAACAACAAAGGCAGAACCTTTCCACTGTTTAATCTGCTGTACAGTTGAACTCAGATCCACCCAGACCACAGTTAACGCTCCAGTCCTGTGATGAAGGTGTTCTCTGCTCTCACTGTTTGATGACTTAGTTAGAACTATAAATTACAGATTATTAGTTGATATGTGTCTCAGCTCTTCACCATCTGTTCACATCACTGCAGTTCTTTATCGTTTTCACAGCTGTTGGCAGAGCTCCAGGTTCTTGTCTGCATTGTCTCCCCAAACCCCGGCGTACCCTTGACTGAGGTTTCTGCCTCTTCATAGATTATAGAAAAATGATATCAAAACTCAAATGAATGAATGCTGCTTATCTGTAAGTATCTTATCTTGATGCTATGCCCTGATAACACAAAGAGTTGCTCCAAAAATAGAAAGTTGAAAGATTTATGGCAAAAAAAAAGTAAAGTTCAATACAATGGTAGCAAATATAGCTAACGTAGAGAAAGCAGTGAATTTAAAAGTGACAAGGAGGTTAGCACTGAATACACAGGACGTAGCAAAAATGTTTAAAGCTGCCACAATCCAGACATTAGCTACATTTAAAAGATGGCTAAAATGAGACAAAAATGAGCTGCTGTGTATCAAGAAAGAACTAGCCACAAAAAAAGAAAAGTTTAGCAACTGTGCTAATGGTTAACCAAGAGCCACTAATCTCGATCTTATTACTGAAGAAGATAGTCAAAAGTCTCACAATAAGACATTAAAAACCTATTAGCAGAGATGGCTAAATAAAGGAATACATATGATTAACCACATGACAGCAGAAAGGTAAAATAAAACAAAGCTTGAAGATAGCTTAAAGTTCAGGGAACAAAGCTAACATTTAGCCATTGTCACTACAAAAATAATATCAAGTAAAAAATATCTAAAAATGCTGTATGCATCTTAAAATATCTGAAGGGTCGGAAAAGAAAGATAAAAAAAAGTTTACTAAACAGGCCCAGAAGTTCTTGTCAGGCTAGAAGGACGAAAACCATTTATTTACCCCTGATGAAAATTACTAAGGTTTTTCTCCGACCACTGAGTCCAGTACAGTCACTGTATATAAACCATGCCAGGTTCATGCTGCTGCCGTGGTTCCTGCTCTTTCCTTTTTTTTTAAGCCTTCATTTTATTGTTGGCATCGGTGTAAACCTCAGCCTGCCAGTGCTTCAGTATTGAAATGACCAGGTTTACCTCATGTCACACACATTTCCTTCAAACTCTCAGTTTACCTGGGAGACAGGACTCTCAGTTGTAGCCTGGTCTTTCTGCTCTGCGCCAAATGTTCACGGCCTGGATTTTATGATGAAACTGACGGAGAAATCTCTGGCCGGCCTGGTCCTCTTTTTGGAAAACAAAATGCTCTGCAAATTACACCCTACTGTGGCTACATGTAGTTTGTACGGAGTCTCTGCTCCACAGCTCTGTTCATGCCAGAGTTGATGACACTGCAGGATCTCATGATGAAATTAGATTATCAACACCACCTTCAGACACAGCTGCTGCTGCTGCTGCTGCTGCTGGCGGCAGCCAAGCTCCTAATCAGGTGTGAAATGTCCTGGGTTTGTCTAGATCTGCTGGAGAGGTTAATGGTCTTTGACCTTTAGGGATATCAGGTCATCCTGAATGTTGAGGTTTGCCCGCTACGAAAACACACAAACGCTCAGTGAGGCTGGTCTGTCACGAGATGACGAGTTGAGATGGTATTTTAAACTCAGTGCGAGAAAAACACGCAGCAGTAGCAGCAGCAGCAGCAGTAACAGCAGTAACAGCAGTAACAGCAGTAACAGCAGCAGTAACAGCAGTAACAGCAGTAACAGCAGTAACAGCAGCAGCAGTAGCAGCAGCAGCAGCAGGAACAGGAACAGCAGCAGCAGCAGTAGCAGCAGCAGTAACAGCAGCAGCAGTAGCAGCAGCAGTAACAGCAGCAGTAACAGCAGTAACAGCAGCAGTAACAGCAGCAACAGCAGCAGCAGCAGCGGTAACAGCAGCAGCAGCAGTAACAGCAGCAGTAACAGCAGCAGCAGCAGCAGTAACAGCAGCAGCAGTAGCAGCAGCA